AGGTAACGCGAGCATGGATATTTTTATTTTTTAACTTCTAAAAGCAGGGGAAAAAATTAACACAATCCAATTAACACCAACCCATGTGCACACAGAACCTCAAGTACAGTTTAACTTTCTTATTTTAAAGCAAAAAATTAGTGTTTGGTTAATTGTTTTGAAAAATAAAATTGAGAATTTTTTAAAAAAAGTTTCTGAATTTCTAAAATTGTTTGAATGAAAATAAAGATGATATGAAAGTGATGGGAGTTTTCGATTTTTTTTAAAAAAAATTTCTAAATCCATTAACAAAAAAAGGAAAAAAATTGAAAACACAATCCAATTAACCCAACCCATGTGTGCACGCAGCCTCAAGTACAGTTCAACTACCTGATCCATCTGTACATATATGTCAGTGGAGGGACCACATGACCGTACCTTTAGTTAATTATAAATTATTATATTTATTCATATTTTTCGACCACTCAATATAAAATTATAAATTTTATTTTTTCTATCAATCACAACATACTTAGATCTCGTTTGATAATATTACTTTCTAGTTTAAAAATCAAAAAGTCACTAAAAAAAATTAAAAAATCAACAACGTATATCAAAAGGTTAAAGATTTTTTTTTTTACTTTTTATACATCTTTTCGTAAAAAATTAAAAAATCATCTCATACATACTAATTTTTTTACATCATATTTTAATTAAAAAATCAAAAAATTATTAAAAAAATTTGTTCCCAAATGAAACCTTAAAATACTATGCAACGGTGACTAAGACCACCAAATAACTCCTCATCTTCATATACAAACCTTTTCCATCATTACAAATATGTTAGTTTGGAACTACATAAAAATTGGACCATAACAAAATTATTGTGAATCTTTGGAAAATTTAAAAATCCACATATAAGATCACTGGAAAATGTAAGGCTCCGGTTGGTGGAGTTTTTAAAATCTAGTTTCACACTCACTTTTGAGTGTGGTGTTTGTTTAGGATTTTCAAATCATAATTCTACACTCATTTCTCAAAACTCAATTCAAAACATAATCATTACTTTTCAAAACTCATAACCAAACACATAATTCAAAACTCTTTTCAAAACTCCATTCAAATCAATATTTTAAAAATATTTTAATTTTGTTAAGATTTTAAATATTTTAATATTTAAATATGTTACGATTTTTTTAATTTTTTAATTTTTTTAATTTTTTGAATATTTTTAAATATTATGATTCTAATTTTTTAAATTTTAAAATATTTTATAAAAATAAATTCAAACTCTATTTTATAAAAATATTTTTAAATATTTTATTTTTTTTTTTGTTATATATTTGGTTACGATTTGAGTGTAGAGTTGTGAAAGTAGTATGGAGTTTCGAGTTATGTGTTTGGTTATGAGTTTTAAAAATAATTTTGTAATTGAGTTTTGTTTTATGTGTTTGGTTACGATTTTAGTATAGAGTTGTTTTTAAATTTAAAATATTAAAATTTTAAATTATTTTAATTTTTTAAATATTTAAATTATTTAAATTTTTACGATTTAAAATTTTTGAATATTTATTTTAATTTTTTACTTATTAAATTTTTTAGATTATTTAAATTATTTAAATATTTATGATTTAAATTTTTTGAATATTTATTTTGAAAAAAAATTATTTCCTTTGTAGTATTTTCAATTAAAAAATTGATTAATGTTATTTTTTGTTAATAATAAATTTTTTTAATTGAATTTTAAAAAGAGTTTGGTTATGAGTGTTGATCAAAATTTTCAATAATGTGAAAGTAATGTGTTTTGTTATGAGTTATAACAATTTGAATTAAGTTTTGAAAACTCTTTTCAAAACTCATAACCAAACAAATTTTCTTACTTCACATGTCAAATCAAACTTTCAAAACTCAATTCTACACTCAATTCAAAACTTAATTCCACACTCAATTCAACACTTTATTCAAAAACTATAACCAAACAAATTTTTTACACTCAAATCATAATTCTAAAACACACAAACTCAAAATACAACTCATATTCTCAAATCATAGTTACAAAGCTCTGCCAAACGGAGCCTAAAATTTTCTACTCAACAAAGTGGTCTAAAAATTCATGGCTCAAATGGCTCAAAACATCTAAAACGATGTCATTTTTGATGTAAAACGATATCGTTTTGACATATTCGAACCATTTGAGCCACACAAATTCAGACTACCAAGCATTTTTCTTTTCCACTACTTAGATCAATTGTTACTCTCCCCACTATCTCAAACCCATCCCATCCATCTTCCCTCCGTCACGCCCACACCATCATACCCGCCTAACCCATTCATCTTGCAACCTTACACATAGAGTTGCAAATAAAACGAGCTATTCGCAAATTGATTCGTCTCTTTAGTAAACAAGTCAAGCTCAAAATCGAATAAAGTCTGCTCGTTTATCTTTATTTAAATTATATAATAAATATAATATTTATATATTAAATAATATAAATAATAGGATAAATATATTATTTATGTATTAAATAATATAAATATTTTTTTATTTAAATAATTTAAATATTAAAAAAATCTTATCGAACAGAGCCGAGCCAAACCAATCTTGAGTTTCAATAATATTAATAAGTCGAACTTGAACTCAATAAACAAATTCGTTAAAATAAACAAGTTGATCTTGAGCTCAATGAAGTAAAACTCGACGAAGCTTAACTCATTTATAGCTCTACTTGTACCTCACCTAGTGCTATGACATGTGCTTGGCAAGTACAAATTGTGCACTAGCCACAATTTAGTGCACAATTTTTACTTGAATAGTGCATGTAAAAAATATGAATGCTTTCACAGTTTTTATTTACACCGTTATAATTTTCACTTGCACCGAAATAGAAAAGGGTGAGGCTAGGAGGTCACAATGGGGGACTGGGAGTTTGGGATGACTACGTGAATATGGTTTTAATGGAGGGCTTCTTGCGGTGTAGGGTGGGAAAAGGTAAAAGAGGGGTTAGAGGTGATGAGAGAGAGCATTGCAGTGAAGGCTAATGGGGGTGGCAAGATGGTGAAATTGTAGAAGGAAGAGGAAGTCAGAGAAGGAATAGGAGCAGAAAAGGCAATAAGGGCACTTTGGTCCAACCAAATCCAAATTTAGCTATTTTTGGAAAAATTTTATTTATACTTATTATCTCCTTACACTCATTTTCAATTTTTTGGCAAAATAAGAACTTCATTCATATTCCTTATACTCATTTTGTATTTATACCTCTTTCAAATTTCAAAATTTTCATTTGATCTCATTACACAACACATAGATCTAAAACATATCATCATACAAAGAAGTCTTCTAAGAATGATGTGATTATAGAATTTTAAAAATTATAAGCTACTGTAATGAGCTCTTGGATTTAAAATGAATGAACAGACTTTTAACACCTCAAATTTTATGAATTTTCTGTACAAATTTTCTATTTGTGTATACGTTTTTATAACATATATATTTGATTTATCATATCATGTGTCATCAATGCAGGTTCTCGGCCACCCAAAGTTTTGGATAACTTAATGGGAAAAGAAAAGACCGATTTTGTGGAACTCACATTTTTGGATGGGATCAATATGCTTTTTAGATATGTAATCCATTGATTTGGATCAATCACATTATATGTATTGGGCATACACTTTCAAAGTGTATGAAAAAATTCATTGAACCTTGTGTTATAAATAGAAATAACATCGAAAGGAAGAGGTATACTTTGAAGCAATAAATTTATTTGTTGAGAAACATTATTTGGACAAAATTTTGGTGCACAGAATGCATAGAAACTCTCACATGAAGGTGAGTCTCATACGTGTAAGCTATACTATCATGTAAGGGTTTTTGTGCATTTTGTCCATCAAAATTTTATGCATTTAGCACTGCTTTTATTTGTTTGGTCTTAGTTATTTATCAAACATCATCTAACTTTTGTATTAGAGTGCCTTTTGGCCGGTAACTATCAGTTGGACGACACTAATGATTTGATATAGGTAAATTACATTGATCTCTCCTAAGATTTGAAAAAAATATAGTAAACTCCACATGTTTGGTATAATTGTACTAAGCTCCCATAAAGTTTCTTATTTTTATTAAAAATTTATTAGTCGTATGAATGAAAAAATAAAATTATAATCTTTTTTATATTGAAATGTATATGTTACTTTATGTATTTTTGTGTCTTCATATTATTTGTATCTTTAACCTTATTAAAAGAAAAATTAGCATAATTATATCAAAACTGTGAGACTTATTATATTTTTTCAAATCTCAAAGGAGATCAACATAATTTACACATTTGTTATTTTTATGAATTTAAAATGGTGTGACTCAAATTAATCTCTCAATTAATTAGTGAGACAAGTTTGCCCACTACAACCATTAATACATAATTCATAATATATTTTTATATAAAAAAAAATTCCGGATAATAAATCATTTTTTATAATATTTATCTCCAATTCAAGAATTGTCGGGCACTGATCTCCTTTTTGTAGCACTGTCCCACCAACCTTTTAATAGCATGGTTGGGCGTGGTTGAAAATTTAAACTCTAATTATTAACATTGTTCCAAAAATAAAAAATAAAAAAATTATTTAAAATATGAATTATTTTTTATAATTTTAAAAAATATAAATATTTTTTGTTATAATTTTTATTTAATAAAATTAACAAAAAAAATTAAATTCCTAATTATTTTTTTATATAATAATAAAATTATAATTAAAAAATATTTTTAACATCATTAATTAACTTAATAATTTATTAATGAAATGAATCATTTATTGTGCGATTAGTAATTTAAAGGAATAAAATATAATTTTTAAAATTATAAGGGGTATTTACAATTTACTCAATAAAAAATTTAAATAATAATAAATTAATTACTAAAACGAATCGTAACTGTTCCGGTACAAAAACCAAACCGTTATCGGCATTTTCTCGAGAAAGTTATAGAAAACAGATTCCCGGGAAAACACGATTACCCAAGTCTTCGGTTATGTCGAAGCCATTCCCTCTCTCTCTCTCTCGAAAACGACTCGACCGATCACTCCATACCCTATCTCCCTAGTTTTCTCACCAGCCTCATTTATCAATTTACAGTTAGAGATACACTCAGCAGCATCTTCCAATTAATTCTCAACTTTTCTTGCCTTCTCCGCCTTCCTATTACTTTCTCTCTCCTAATCTCTCTCTCTCTCTCTCTGTGTATATATATATACGCACAAATGTATATGTCGTCTTCAAGCTTTCTACTTTGTCTCTGTACACAGTCGCTGCTTCATTCATATAACAGCTGTTGTGTAGAGACACATCTTTACTCTGTTTTTGTGATAGCAATTTGGCTCTCACAATCACAATTATGGGCATTTTCAAGGCCAAAGGCGTAGTCTACAAGCCTGTCGACGATGTCGATCTCGGTCCTCACAGCGATGAGTTTTATCTCCGTGCTAACGTCAAAGGTTCGCAATTCTGAATTCTGAATATCATTGTATTCATTTTGAATATATTTGAATTTTGAATCACTTCTTCGATATTAATTGCCAAGGAGAGATTGATTACATTTTGAATTTTGGTGGCTTTTTCGTATTGGTTCTTCTCAAAGGATTTGGCTTTTGAATTCAACTGGACTTTTTACCGGTAAAAATCATTAAACAGAGGTTTCTTACTGATAAGAGTCTATGAAAACATGGGCCAGTTAAATTTTTTTCAAAGATTCTTGAGTAAGTGTCTTCCGTTTAATGATTCTTACTAGTAAGAAACCTCATCAAATGTCTGGTCCAGGTGAAAGTTCTCCAACTGGAGATAAGCCATTCCCCTTCTCAAAAACCTCTATTCTTGAAATTTTGATCACTTTCTTGTTGAACTGTATTGTTTATGTGAATCACATACTGATGTTTATATTTGGATTCAATCTCTTTTTGTCAGTAAAGTCCATTGCTGTTTAAAAATTTGCATAATTTTATTTTTATTAAATTCTGAGAATTTAAATGGACATAATTCCTGGTTCTAACGGAAAAGTTTCTTGTAAATTTTAATGGTTTTAAGTAAAAATTTGAAATTAATTCAACTGATATTCATGAGGAACAGATTTGAATAAATTCAAGTGTCAGTAGGATATAATTTGGATTTCATGTTTATGGTTAATTCAGAACTCAATTTACATTTTCTCTCCTCACTCTTGCTCACTTTAAGATTTACAGTTAAATCTGGAATTCAATAATTTGGAGTTATTTATGTATTGTGGATTAGCGCTACAAGTCTACAAAATCATGAATTCTTATGTTTTTTTTGTTAGCTCCTCGCATGGCTGGATTGCTGGTTAAAATTTTTGTTTGGTTCCTCGAGTCGCGGATTTTCGGGGGTATTTTGTTGTACATGTTGAAGAGAAACAACCTAATTCACAAGGTATGAGCATAAATTTGTATTAATTTATGATCTCTATCTTATTTGTTTTTGTTTTTATTTTTATTTTTCTCGCAACCTAATTCATTAGGTGTGAGCGTAAATTTGTATTAATTTATGATCTCTATCTTATTTGTTTTTGTTTTTATTTTTCTTTACTTTATCTGTTTATTTCACCTGATAGCAATTTTTCTATTTTCTTCTAAGTGAAATTTTTTTTCTCAAGTAACAGAAGCAATTGAATAAAAGAACACAATCTGTTTTAAGTAGATAAGGATATATTAATTGTAGCATGGTTAAAGGGAAATACAGGGTGTGCAGCAGCTAAAAAAGACACTTTTTTTCCTTTTTGGGGACCTTTTTGTCTTTAGTGATTTTTTTTTAAAAAAAATTGTGTCAAAAATCTAGTCTAAAATGATCTTAGAAGGGAAAAAATTGAAAACATCTATAAAAAAATTACTAAAGGCAAAAAACAAAAATAGTCAACTTTGTAAGCTTTGTCATCTTCAGTAGACTTTTTTCATTTTATTTTTTTAAGATTTTCAATTCCATCTAGTCTAATAGGATCCAAAATTGAATTTTTTTTTTAATAAACAAATACTAAAGACAAAAAAAGTTATTAAAAAAGCAATGGCCAAACACAACCTTAGTGTCTATTCTTTTTTCCATGAGTAACTTCTGATAATAAATGTGAGGGGAAAATGGCTGTAATAAACAGGACAAGGCGATATATATAATAAATATAAGATGAAAATTTTCTTGTATGTATCTTGTGTGTGTTAAAGCAACCTTGTTGGCTTGCCCTGTGTAGAAATTGAAAAGACACATCAAAGGAAAGTGTTATCTTAAAGCAGTATTCATATTTACAAGTGACTGTGAAAGCCAATAAACTCGAATTGAATTAATTATATATCAAGTGGAAGTATTATCTTAAAACTATATTCATAACTTGAGGATAGCAAGACTCTTGAAGTTGTGAAATAAAAGACTCTTATGATCTATTTGTGGTTATAAAATAGAGTATTCTGATGTAAGGTAATAATCTCATAACCAATGATGTCCAACTTGGTGGCTTGGGTGCTACCACAAGATGCATGCTTGACTGCATCTTTTGACCAGGGCGCAGTTTTTGACCTAAATTTTAAATGGTCTCCCAACATATATGAAATAAAACATATATCCTTGACCCCATCTTCAGGGTACACTTGTTTTTATGTCATAACTACAACTTTATTCACTAAATTAGGTAGGTAGTTCATATATTAGGCCAAGTTTGGCATGTGCCCAAAAAGTCAAAAAGCCAAAAAGTTACTCAAAAAGTTAAAAAGTTATCACTATTCACCAAAAGTCAAAAAGTACGGCTGCACAACTCTTAATCCTAATTTTTCCCTACACACTAATTTATACAATTTTTTAATACACATTTTTTCATAAAAAGTCAAAAAGTTAACCCAAACAACCATATTTTTTTCCTCAACTTTTTAGTCCAAAAAGTCAAAAAGTGTACTTATTTAGGGCATCCCAAACAATCTAGTGTGATTCTTGTCAACTTATTTTAATTTATATATGCATACATAAAGGTGAAATCCTGTTGTATATGCATGAAAAGATAAGAAAAGATCATTTTGTTACAGCAGAAAATACTTTTCAAAATGTGAGCTCCTTGTCAAACTCTTTTTAAGATGTTCAAAATTTTGTTGCAATACTCATAATTTGTTCTTCAACTTTTGCAGCTTGTTTCATATGCAGAGTTGGAAGAGTCACCTGTATTTGTTCCTTCACACCCTTATGAAGGTCGGGTTTCATATTTAACTATTAATATGTTCCACTATTTCCACCAATTGCTTTTAATTCAACACATCTCTTTATCACATGATAAAAATACTTCATAAATTGCATGCACAATGTTAGTGATGTTAGGGCACTTAGCGTTGATGTTGTTGGAATTTGTTTGTTACATTAGTCTGCTCGTTACCCAGATCCTGCTATGGCTATATTTTCTCATTTGTCACTTCATTGTAGGTTGATGTTTCAATGAAATTGAAAATGTTCAAAGCAGTTGGTGCTTCAAGAATGTGCACTTTTCACATATATATGTAATTTATACTTTGTCATTGCAGGCCTTAAAGAACAAGAAGTCAAATTAGTAGAGGATGATCTCTCTCCATCTGACAAAATTCAGAAGGCCATGGAATGCATACAATGCTCAGAAAGTATACAAGAAAATTCGGAGCTTAGTTTCCATCGCTGGACAGTATTGGATTATTCAAGAGCTTACATTTCAGGAGAGATTACTCCTCTCATGGTATGTCATTTCTCTGCTAATTTGAATAATTCAGCTGAAACTTCCAAATGCATCTTGTATGATTCACATTGAAGTACCATGTTTGGAATTGATTCCCAAATTTTGTTATGACTCCTTTTAACCTGCACGTTATAGCTACATGCCCGTTTATATTAACTGATTTATTAATCTAAAGTGTTGTTCTATAACTGTTAAGGGGCTTGATTAATCTTATGGACAGGTGGCGGAGCGATTTATAGCTGCTGTCCATGAATCGTCTGAACCTGCATTGCACATGTCATTCTTTATTGATTATAATGTTGGAGACATATTAAGGCAAGCTACTGAGTCAACTCAGCGGTACAAACAAGGTACTTGTCTGCAAGGTCTAACTTCTTACTTGATGTCTAATCAAAATAAGGAAAAAGAATTTGGTTCCAGATTATTTTATTTTCCTGATGAACATTTTGCAGCATACCTGTGGTTTTATATTGTTTTTGGTATGTTTCTCATAATTAGCTCTCCTGCCGTCAGTTCTTTCATCCTTCTTTATTGGTCTGGTTTTTGTTTTTGTTTTTGTTTTATTTATTTATTTACTTTTATTAACAGTGTGCTCTTTGTTCAATCTACCTTTAGTTAAACTGTTTAACCAACTTTGTGAGCAACTAATCCATGGTGAACTGATTTTAATACTTTCTGTATTGGTAATTGCCTATTTTGAAATTCCACACAATAAAGAGCACGGTGAAGCTAGCACATGAACAAATGTAGTTAGCGATATTGCCTACAGATAAGAAGAAGCAACTTCATTTTGTTTTCTATTTTTTTTCCCTTCAGATACATCTTTGCAATGGTACAGTTTCCTTAGTTTTTCATTACAAACTTTTCAATCCTCAATATGAACTTGTCCAGGAGAACCATTATCACCTCTAGATGGAGTCCCAATCGCAATCAAAGATGAAATAGATTGTATGCCCTATCCAACTACAGGTAATTCTTTCTTTTTAAGTTTCTTATCAGCAGCAATTGAGTTAGACTCATCCTCTTCATTACAACTAATTTATAAGTCCATAGCATCATCTAGCTGACTAAATAGTTCTTTTAGGGGGTACAAAGTGGTTGCAAAAGGTAAGACATTGTGCAGATGATGCATGCTGTGTTAAGCGCCTGAGATTATGTGGTGCCATACTTGTTGGGAAGACAAATATGCATGAGCTCGGGGCTGGAACCAGTGGTATCAATCCTCATTATGGGTATAACATTCTTCCTCATTTCCAGCTCAATTATATGAAACATATTATTGTTATATTTAATCAAAATTAAAATAGTTTCGTTTGCCTACCTTAATGATATCCTTAGTCGTTGACAGCCTGTTTATGGCCGTTGTAGGGTACCTAGAAATCCATATGATCCCAACAAGGTCTCTGGGGGTTCTTCTAGTGGATCTGCAGCTGTGGTTTCTGCAGGGTTGTGCCCTGTTGCCCTAGGTGTTGATGGGGGAGGTAAACCAGTTTTTATCTTCTTCTTTTTTCTTTTTTTCTTTTTCTTTTTTTCTTTTTCTTTTTTCTCTTGAATTCCACATGTTTATTTCACTAATCGATTACTGATTATTCTTTTACCACAACACAGTTCTATAAATGGATTTAGATCACTTGACTTGTTATCTTCAGCTGTTAAATGTTACCAAAGAAAGTTCTACAAATTCACAATGGCATATTGCTGGAGGAGTGCAAGTTATCTCTGAACATGTATTTTCTACAATAGTGTTGCCTGATCTTCATATAAAAGCTTGTTACTCTTCTTCATACCTTCATATACACACAAATTCATAGAAACATATACATATGTTGTAGATTTTGGACTGAAGGTGACTGAACTCATTTCATGATTTGAATGATATAGGGATGAGATGTCACAGGAAACTTTAGCCAATCAGATAGCTTCCAGCTGAACTAAAAACTTCATTACTGTATCATAAAATAAGTAGAACTAAAGTGATAATTATCTACGTTATGATCCATAATTTTGAAAAAATGAAAAGAAAAAGAAAAAAAGTGCCATGAGTGTAAAGATCATCTAAGTGTGAATTACATGTTACAATTAAGGGGGTTTCAACAAAATCATCTTACCTTCAGTAGAAAATATTAGTTGATTAACTCTGATCCGCCCAGCCCATTCAGTTGTTTGACATATGTGCTTTATGGTCATTCTTATCTTCTAAACCTCAACTTCAGTTAAACTAACTAATCTTACGCCAGCCATATGATGTCTGCTGCACTGCACGGATTTCCTTTTCCTTTGTGAGGTTATGAATTAATTCATTGATGAGTTTGAAGCTTGGCTGATCATGAACAACTGTGTAAACTTTTGTGACCTATAAGTAACAAAAGTTGTTTCCTTATTCATTTTTTGATTAGGATCTGTGAGAATGCCTGCTGCTCTTTGTGGTGTTGTTGGTCTGAAGCCAACTTTTGGACGTGTGCCCCATTCTGGGTACGATCTCATTTATGTGTCGCTTTACTTTCCAATATTGCCTGGATATTTTATGATGCTGGATAGCACTTTGGGCCAAAATCTTGAAGTTTTGTTTGTAATTTTCTCAGTGTTATTCCTCTGAACTGGACAGTTGGGATGGTCGGTATCCTAGCAGGCACAGTTGAAGATGCATTTATTACGTCGGTGTTCCTTTATTTAAATGTTATCTTTATTTTCTAAATTCAATCCAGTTACCTAGGCATCTCTTGTGGATTTTGTGAACAATTTCAGTACACTCTTTCGCGTTATCAGCTATCAGTGTCCAATTTTCCATCATGCCAACCCACAGATGCAGTGGTATATATTACTTAACATTACATGGAATTTTTAGTTGTTATTGTTAGAACTGGGAATTGCTGGATTTCCAGGCAGCTATTGCTGCTTTCATGACCTTGTAATTAATTTAGTTTTTTACTTCTGTTTTTTATTCACACAGATTTTATTAATAGTTTAAATTTCCAAATTAGAAATTTGTTTTTTCTTTTCTCACCTCCAAATGTTGTTACAAGGCAGTTTGCTTTTGATTGCTTCTCTTTCGTTTATTTTACTTTCATATTTTGCTTTCTTTTAGATTTTGCAATTATTTCTGGTATTTCTTTTAATTGAAACCAATGACATAAGGATCTTAAGGTTGACCAACTACACTGCTGCAGTGAAATTGTCCATTTTTATAATTGTATTCAAAAATTTTTCTGTTTACATTACTAAAATTTATTTGTTTTCCCTTCTACCTGTGTGAAGTGATGCTATCTATGCTTATTTCTTTATTGCCTTGGGCTGTCTCTTCTCAGTTGCTAACATATGGACATTATTATACTACTATTTACTGATTCTCTTTTTCTTTTTTCTTTTTTTATTTACAAGAAAAAAATTAATTTCCCACTCCTGAAGACACCAAACTGTATATCTAACATCAAGATGGCTAAATATGGGGAGGTTCATAATCTGTCACTCAAATTTATAATTTCATTAGTGAATTTTTTTTTTTTAAACTCTGTTCTAACATAGATATTGGTTAAAATTATTTGCCAATTCCTCTTGTACAATTTTGGCTTTATCAAGCTTATGCATATAACTGGTATCTTCTTTGGACCAAACAGTGGTTTAATGATTGCACCGACGACATCAGAGTCTGTTGTTCCCATGCTCTGGACCAGCTTCACAAGCATTATGGATGGGAGGTATTTTCAATCCATTGCTGCTTTTATTAGTTCAAACTTACTGGATCTTTATTCATAATGTTTTATGCATTTAGTATATGCCGTTGGTGTGAAATTTTATTTTTCCTCTAACCTAAATAAATAAAAAACATGAATTGAATGCAATTTTAAAAATAATAAATAAATAAATAAAGAATTTGCTTCACCTTGTCGTTCTACTTGTCTGTGATGACTAATTTCTGAGTTGAGGGCTTCTTGTCTGTAAGACCATGGACGTGACCATACCAGAGATAGAGGTGATGCGCCTGGCACATTATTCAACAATTGGATCGGAGTGTAGCAATTCAATTGCTTGTCATCTTGAAAACATGTATGTCTTTCCCACTACAGCATCATGTTAATTATCTTTTTTAACAAGAAAATGAGAATTCTAGTATTTGACACCATTGCCTCTTTTTGAAATAGGAATGTGGCAGAAATAGGGTTGGATGCAAGAGTAGCACTCTCTGTTTATGGTTCTTTCAGCAGCAGGGAGTATTTGAATGCCCAGAAAATTAGGTACTGTACAGATCAGTGTACTTTATTGATAGCAACATATACTAAGAAATGTTGTTATTTTTTATGTTATAATTCTCTTTATCTTATCCTAGTAATGTTAATCCAGCTTTCATTGAGGATCTCCTATCCCTAGAATCCCAATGAAATCAAAAGATAGTTGCAGCTTTATGTTTAATTCTCAGGTTGCTAGCACAGATGTTTAGTTCTTCCAAGTAATACATAGTGCAGGAGCCCATGAAAGTGGCTCTTAAGGAAACCACAAACCCACAATTTGATTCAAAGTCATAATTTAGTCTTCCTCTTGAAGTTATTGGATCTAACAGATTGGAATCATATACAACACACACTCTTATAGAATCTCTAGCCTCTTATATGATTTACAATATAATTACAAGAATCAGGAGTTTAGGCAATGGTTTTACTTCATTTTCTCTTTGTATTTCTGATAGCAATCATGAAGAAAACATAATATAACTGACCAAAAATAAATGATGATTTGAGTACTAATTTATTGCTAATTTCCTCCCAAAAAAAAGGGTTGGTGACAATATTTTGTGGTACCAGTTTTATTTTAATTCATATTTGGTTTTGATATCCTCAGGAACCGACAGATGCAGTTTCATAAGAAAATATTTGCCATGGCAGATGTTATTGTTACACCAACGACAGGGTACTCTCTCCCACTACGTTGAATTATGCCTGCTTTATTTATTTAGAGCAGCCTAGATTCTCATACTATTTCTTTTTCTTTTTTTGAAAAGAGGGAACTAGGTATTCGTATTCACAGACCAAGAACATGCTTTAGTTTCGAGCCAATTCTATGATACTTAAAAGCAAAAGAATGACTTAGTATTATTATTATCATTATTCAGTTTTCTGTCACCTTTTAGTAATAGATTAAGGTGACTTTGTTACTCTTGACAGTGTGACTGCCTACCCAATATTCGATGATGCTTTGAAAACTGGGGAACTTGACTACATAAATGGAGGTATAAATAACTAGATTTTTTTTTTTTTAGTCTATCTCACTCATACCTTTCATTAGTGTTTAAAGGCCCACATTTACATAAATGGTATAAATAACCAGAAAATTTTTCTTGTCTATCTCACTCATACCTTTCATTAGTGTTTAAAGGCCCACATTTACAACCATTAACATTCTTTTGTTATTTTCAGCTGCACTTGTTCGGTATCAGATATCAGGAAATTTCTTGGGATTGCCAGCAGTAACCATACCTGTAAGATTTTTGTAGTCCTACACTGATTTACATCCAATGAAGTGTAATTGGAAAGAACAATTACATCAATCTATGTGACTCCACCATATTTGTTAACCTAAATAGTTCTTGTTCTTGGTAGATTGGATACGACAAAGTTGGCTTGCCTATAGGCCTTCAATTTATTGGGAAGCCATGGTCCGAAGCTACGCTGATCCACATAGCGTTCGCAATGCAGGTATGCCACTACTGTACTTCTGAATGTTGAAAAATGCTGTTGCATTATATTCATGTAGCCAAACACAAACAGCTATATGCCCATTGGGTTTGAAACTGTCTATATGTCGGTTGTCATTGTTTCAGGCCATCTCGGACTCAAAAAAACCACAGATTTTCTATGATCTGCTCAAAAAGGATTGATTGCACAAATGACAACACACCAGATATATTGTTCCGAACTTCTATGATTTCTAAGAAGTGTATCACCTTGTTCAAATAGATATGCAATGCTTCTTATATTTGTTCCTTTAGTACAGAAACAGTTGATATATGTGATAGTTTTCATCATCTTTGTTCAAATAGATATGCGATGCTTATTATATGTTCCTTGTGTACAAAACCAGTTGATATGTGGTAATTATCAGGATTGGATTCTTATTTCATTTGATGGCATTATTGAATTCTTGGCTAGAGCAAAATTATACATTCTTCACCTTCAATAAAGTGATATAGGCAACAGTTTCGCTATGAAAGGGAAACAAACTGGGATGGGACAATTAAATTGTGTTGTTAGGCCCACCAAGAGATTTACTTTAATGATCTGAATTGTCCATCTTATAGGCCTTTCAAGTAGATGATTCATGCAAAAAATCATGTTGCTCGGACAATCATAGTCACATGATCATATTACATTTGTCTTAGAAAGTTTTTTACTTTCAGTAATTGTTTTATCAGTGATTTCACGGTTTGGAAAGTTTGAAATTTCACACTTTCAATAAATATTTTAGCATTGCCTAAACTTAGGAACTACTCAATTTTAGAAGTTTGAAATTTTGTAAAAGTGAGAAAATTGACACTAAATGTAGAAAGTAAAATTTCAAACTCTTTTGAGTCTAGAAACTGTAAAATTTCACACTTCTAAAAACCAAATTAACAAAGTGCGAAATTTCACACATTTGGATTTTAAAAAAAAAAAAAATCAAGGATTGGATTTTACACAATTTCATAGTCAAATTGCAATCTTGTGTTATAGATCTCATCAAGTAGGTTAAAAGGATAAAGATTTTATAAAAAAATGAACATATACTTGAAAATTATGAAATATAATGTTTAAACTTATAAAAACAAGAAAGTTTCTACATTAGCAACGCCTAAGTACACAAACTTCTTCATTAAAATCTATGTGCTTGTATAAATAAGGGTAACAAAATTTTGAGAAAAGCGACTTGAGCTTCCAAGTAATTTGTACGATAGGACCTTAAAAATTGACAAAAAAAAAGTCCTAGGATGATTAACAAGTGCATGGGATGAGACTTTTTCACTAATTCTCCCAATTTTTCATATAAATTGATGCTGCATGCAATAACTGTGCGGGGAACAAATATTCAGGCAAGCCCGCACTCCTTTCTTCCAAGCTTCCGTTTCTATCCGGTCACCTGCAGGCAAATAACGGTGAGCTACCCGGCGGTGTGTGGCCGGAAAAACCCTCCGACGATCAAGTTAGCGCACACCTTAGGATAGAGAGAGAGAGAGAGAGGAGTGTTTGAGTGTAAGAATTTCCTTACAAAGTGTTCCTGTCCCGCGTATGGGGGGCGCAGACATGCTTATATACCCTTCTGCGTCCCAAATCTACTCCCATTGGTCTCTCGACACGTGGCTCTGTTATCCCATCTGTCAGCACAAATCTTGCTATATATCACCTAACCCAACTGCCAGCCCACTCTGCTGGGAGCACGGCAGCCGGGCAACATTATCTCGGCTATCAACGGCCATACTAAACATGCCCAAGTGCAGTTAATGTCGTAGTTTCCTACTATCGGGCTTAATTCCAGCCGTGCTTAACTGTATTCCGGCGAAGCTGAGCTGGAGATTGGTAACGCCGGTCAGCCAAAGACCTTCTCGGCCAAGCTCCAAGCACAGGCCTTCCTACCGGGTTAAGGTGCGTGCATTACAACCTTGCAACGCGTGAGCCGGGGAGCCTCATCTAGGCTGTTCCTCCATCAGTCCGGCCTTCGCGGAACCGAGATCAGATAACTCGGTTCCACGTGGGCTTCGCCATTACCGAGCAATATCACGGCCTGATCTTGGAGCCCAATACCTCGGCCCAAATCTGTCCGGCTAACGTCACGGCCCAATCTCAGATCATAAATCTCCCTCTCAATTACCCCTTAATTCTGTCCGCAAAAGCGTGACTGGGATTACTTATTTCAACCGGGATAACACTTCCTCGGTCCTCAGAATGCGAAATGACGACCGGGCTAGTTGACATTCCTGTCTGCAAACTTGCCCGGTTATACTCCTCGGTTGACGTCCTCTTCTTCAAAAGTAGCCCGGTTGAGTCAACTCTTTAACCTGTCTCTTCAGTTCTGACGTCGTCATAAATGGGGACACATGGCGAGCTGCCATTGGTTCTCGAGCAGCCAACCCGCCGTCTTGCCAGAATTTGAATTTGGGCGGTCTCGTCTCCTCTATAAACATTCCCCCCCTCATCTTCCTTGAGCTCTTACTGACTCACTGCCATTCCAAGCAACCCAGAGTTCTTGCCTCTCCTCTGCCATTCCTAAACTCGCGCTTGAAGAAGAAACAGCCACTGCTCCATATTGGTAAGCCCTCTCCAACCCTTGTTATTGTTATTTTCCTTGATATTTCATACATTAGGGCAATAAAACGTAGTTCTTAGGACATAGGCCATAGAAATCGTCCCAAACCACCCACTGTTCATGGTGTTCTTCATTTTTGCTGATGAACTTCGAAGAACTGGGGCGGACCGGGCTCTAGGTCTTCGTTTGATCCAAAAAACCATCCCGACCGAGCAAATAACCTGTTAGACTTAACCATAGCAAGAACCGGGATAACAAAGGTCTTGGCCGCTCAATCGGGCTAAAATCTGGTCTGCCTGGGCGGCCGAGCTCCTTGGTTAGCCTCTACGACCGAGGTGGTTTGGCACTCTAGACGACTGAGCTAAAGTCAAGCTCGCTTTGCGCGACCGCGCTCCCTCTTACACTTGCCCTCCTTTTTCTACAGAGTCCAAGGGGATCACTGACCATTCCTGAGGCTCCCAAAGACCGAGCAGCCACAAATCACCTGACAGTGCCAAACCACAGCCGAGCTAATTTAGCCGGTCGTAAATGGGAAAATTCCGCTTCCTCGTAGATACTCCGGCTGCCTTGGCCGTGTTCAGGGAAGAGTACGGCATCCCGGCCGACGTCCACCTTGAGCTTGCAGAAGAGCAAACAACGCCTTGGGGCAGATCAGAACAATGCCCCTTCACCGTGCTATCTATCATCGAAGGAGGCCTCCGCTTCCCACTCAACCCACTTATCACCGAGTTCCTCTGCCGCACCGGGCTGGCACCCACACAAGTGTCCACCAACACTTACTGAATTATCAACGGCGTCCATGAACTGAACAACCGGCTAGGCACCAACTTAGGTTTAGCCGAGATATTAAGGCAATACACGATGGGTCACACCGATGACAACCTAGCCTATTATTTGAAAATCAGACCGGGCAATGAGAAAATTGTAACCGGCACCCCGGATAAAGACTTGCACGACGACGATTTTTTCTGGGTGTCGGGCAATTACGAAACAGTCGACTTACCGGGCTGGTTTATAAGCAAGAATTTCGGTTCCTCATGTAAGCCGCTCAAACTTGCTCGGTCAACCTACCTTCTTTATTCTGTAATTAACCAGTTTTCTTATTTCTTTTACAGCAATCCAAGCCTTGCAAGCCAACTACCAATTTCCCAACGTAAAGGCAATCCGGACCGTGCTCCGCTATTGCCACCGAGATTACAACGAGCTACTCGGTTACACTCCAACCTACAGATACTCAGCTCCACGCCGGAGTAAAGTTACAGACTTTTTCCGCGCTCTAATTCCTCCTCCAGACCCAAATCTGCCAGACGTTCCGCTAATCCGGCTGACCGAGGAACAAGAGATGGCTAAAAGAAGCCGCATCAAGAATATCCTCACAGCCACATCCGCCGAAATACCAAGCATTTCTCCCCCATCTCATGCTGCTGGTCAATCCAGCAGCCTTGTGGTTATCTTGGCATCTCCAGCTGCCGGGCAATCCAGCCAACCCCGCCGGGCAGGCAAAAGACCTCGCACAGACCCAACTGCCGAGCTGGTTGCTGAGCTAACAACCGAGCAGCCCGCCAACACTGCTGATCCCATTCCACCATGGCGGCCGCAGCTCAAGCACCGGAGCCAAGATATCCCGGCAAATGCTTCTGTCAAGGGCAATAAGGAGCACTTGTTAGCCTTTGACCTCTCGAAAGCTCTCTTGCTGCCAAGTGACGTGGTTGGCAGCGATCACGTCCCTGACACCCGGTTGGTGAAATCAGCAGTGAAATCCATGACCAGGGTAAGGATCCAACTTCCACTGAAATTTTACAAGTGTTTGCCCGGTTCCTTCACTAATCAAATTCGTTTCTTGGAGGCTATCCAAAAGCAGCACCTGGTAATGGAACGCATCCACAGACTTCGGCAAAAAGCAAATGACACAGCCAGCCAAGTCCAAAGCCTCCAAGCCGAGCTTGGCCGGGCAAAAGCATCTCTCCAAATTGTCAATGCTGACAACAACAGGTTGCACGGTCAGCTTGACGAGGCCGAAAAGAAGCGCGATGAGCTCCAGGCCGAGCTGGATGCTCTGAAAAAGTCAAGGAAGAAGGACTGCCAAGATGCAAACAACGTCGGCTTCCTAGAAACCGAGGGAAGCTACAAGAAGCAGGTCTTCGCTACCCAAGACATCTACTTCAAAGCGGGTTGGAAGTCTGCCTGCGAGCATCTCGGTCAGGGGCCTGATACTGACATCTTTGCCACCCCGCCACCTACTTCCCTGCCGGCCTACCTCGTGCCATATGCCAATGACGTCTTCAGTGCATTGCAGGCTAAGGCTGAGGAAGGGCTTGAAGAGGAAGAGGCCGGGGAAGATACTGACGGAGAGGAGCAACCAGAACAGGAGCAGCCCGGCCGAACTGAGCCCGGTGTTGAAGACCGATCTCCAGCAGTGAACTTGGAGACAACTCCGGATGATGAATTCACCAATCTCTCCCCCTTAGCTTAGTTTTCTTTTTTCTATTGCTTTTTTTTTTTGCTTTGCACATGTAACCGGGCTCTCTGCCCCTCCTTTTGTATTAACTTTCTATCAATGAAATGCTTTAATTTCATCAAGTATTTGCACGGTTTTCTCGAACTCTATCTTCAGCAAAACATCTCGGTTTAAATCATTAAGTTGCACAAATCACCAACTAGCTTGACCGGAGTTAACATCTCGGTAAATTTAGCAAAATTGAGCTTCTTCAACCGAAATAAACATCTCGGTGGGAACAACAAAGTTGAACAAATCATTAATTCTTTCAACCAGACTAAACCATCATGGTTGAGCATGCCTGAACTGAACAAAACATCTTGTATAACCGAAATACACCATCTCGGTTTTAATTCTGATAGAATTGAACAAAACATCAACTCCCTCAACCGGAGTAGGGCATCTCGGTTGGAATCTCTGAGTCGAACAAACCATCAACTCCTTCAACCGGAGTAACTCATCTTGGTTGGAATCCCTGAGTCGAACAAACCATCAACTCCTTCAACCAGAGTAACTCATCTCGGTTGGAATCTCTGAGTCGAACAAACCATCAACTCCTTCAATCGGAGTAACTCATCTCGGTTGGAATCCCTGAGTCGAACAAACCATCAACTCCTTCAACCGGAGTAAATCATCTCGGTTGGAATCCCTGAGTTGAAACCATCAACTCCTTCAACCGGAGTAACTCATCTCGGTTGCAATCTCTGAGTCGAACAAACCATCAACTCCTTCTACCGGAGTAACTCATCTCGGTTGAGAATACTTAAGTTGAACAAAACATCAACTCTTTTAACCGGAGTAAATCACCTCAGTTGAGAGTCTCAAGTATTCAAAGCAATCAATCAAAATGCTAAGGCAAAGAAGACACTTCTATATATTGACAAAAAGAATTACATTCTGAAGTGTAAGGCAAAAAATTTCTTTGCACAAAAAGAAAACAAAAGCTAGAAATAGTACAGTTTGAGATTGGCCGCATTCCATGGCCGCGGGATTGCTCTACCATCCAAATCCTCCAAGTGGTATGCCTCCTTGCCCGCCAAACCGGTTACCTTGTAGGGTCCTTCCCAATTTGCACCTAGCTTGCCTTCTCCTGGCACTAGGGTATTGCCCATAACTTTCCTCAAGACCCAATCACCCACCTTAAACGGTCTGGGGTGCACCGTCTTGTTGTACTTCCTGGAGAGCTCTTGCTGGTAGGCGGCCACATGGATAAGAGCCTTTTCCCGGCGCTCTTCCACCAGATCCAATTCCAGAGCAATGGCCTCGGCGTTCAGCTCGGGCTCAAAACTTTCACTTCTGAGAGTGGGCATGCCAACTTCTAATGGAATGACCGCCTCCATGCCATAAGCCAAAGCAAATGGAGTTTCCCCGGTCGACCTCCGAGGGGTTGTACGGTATGCCCAGAGGACACTGGGGAGTTCCTCAGCCCACTTTCCTTTCGCCTTCTCCAGCCGTTTCTTCAGCCCGTCAAGAATGGTCTTGTTCGACGCCTCGGCTTGACCGATGGACTGTGGGTAAGCCGGTGTGGAGTTGTAGAATTCAATCTTCAAATCTGCATAAAACCCTCTGAATAGGCGACCGTCAAACTGGGTGCTGTTATCAGAGATAAAAATTTTGGGGACGCCGAACCGTGTTACCACATTCTGCTACCCTTCTGCGTCCCAAATCTACTCCCATTGGTCTCTCGACACGTGGCTCTGTTATCCCATCTGTCAACACAAATCTTACTATACATCACCTAACCCAACTGCCAGCCCACTCTGCTAAGAGCACGGCAGCCGGGCTACATTATCTCGGCTATCAACGGCCATACTAAACATGCCCAAGTGCAGTTAATGTCGTAGTTTCCTACTACCGGGCTTAATTCCAGCCGTGCTTAACTATATTCCGGCGAAGCTGAGCTGGAGATTGGTAACGTCGGTCAGCCAAAGACCTTCTCGGCCAAGCTCCAAGCATAGGCCTTCCTACCGGGTTAAGGTGCGTGCATTACAACCTTGCAACGCGTGAGCCGGGGAGCCTCATCTAGGTTGTTCCTCCACCAGTCCAGCCTTCGCGGAACCGAGATCAGATAACTCGGTTCCACGTGGGCTTCGCCATTACCGAGCAATATCACGGCCTGATCTTGGAGCCTAATACCTCGGCCCAAATCTGTTCGGCTAACGTCACGGCCCAATCTCAGATCATAAATCTCCCTCTTAATAACAAAATACTAAAATTTGAAATGGACCCACTGAATTAAATGATAGAAACAATTCAACTATCATATCAATTTATAAACTATATTATAATTTGTAAGAAAATTCTATTTATATAGCATTACTCTATCATGATAGTAGCAATTCAACTACCAACTGACACCAACATTAATTTGTAAAGTAATATTGTAAATTTTGGTTGTTTGTATAGAGCATTACTCTAGTAGTTTAATAGCTAACACTGTATTTTCAATTAGGGTTGCTTTGGGACTTCAAACACTAGCAACCCTTCCTCAAAGTGATGCTTGCTGTGTCTATAAATAAGCTGCAGATGATGGTAATATCTAGTTGAAGGTCCTATTTGTGAAGTTGCTTCCACATCCTATCACACTGGAGGTGGGTCCCATACAAACAAGCAAAAAATTGTAACATCTGTAATCTTGTACATCTAGTCCATCGCATAAAGAACCAATCCGCAGATAGACACATAGTCAAGCAGCAATTTTAAGATTCAGACAGTGTAGAGAACATAAAAAAGAGATTGTGTATTGAAATAAATCAATTTATATACTCTTTCTCCAATCTACAAGCATACCCAAAGAGGCACCAAGTAATTTAACATATATATATATATATATATATCTAAATTCTCATACATTTAATGTTATCATTGCTAACAAGAACAAATCATGAATTCTGCTATACAATCCCAAGCTTGAAACCCTTCTTAGTTTCACTTTTATATTTATTATTGCTATTTTATATTCTCACCGAGTTTCATTCTGTCTCCTGCTATTACTCCGAGGGAACAACTTCCCAAATCCATTTCGGCTCTTTTCAACAGTAACAGCCTGCTGCTGGCTTCTTGATAGCAACGAGCCTGCTTCCCCACCATTTTCTAGTGGACCGGGACAACTGGAGATCGTTTTTGGATCTTCAGAATCGTTTTTTGGCGAATGCAAGTCACGAGAAGGTAGTTTCAATGATTCAGGACCATCTTCAGGAAATTGTGATCCTTCTTTAGGGAGCTCTGTTGTTTTCTCGGAGTCCATTAGGAAGTCTTCCAATGTTGCAAGGGATTTTAATTGCCGCCCAAGAGAGGCGATTGTTTTCTGGCACTCTGCAAATTTACTGCTGGCTATTGCTAGCTCCTTGTCCTGTTATAAACATCACAAGACATTGACAATCTTGTAAGAAAACAATTTACATATGCAAAACAACATGCGTAATCATGCATGATCATGCCAAGACTTGTTAGAAATATAAACCTACTAGAAAAACCTAAGGTACCATATTTAGGCATTGTTTGGTAGTGCAATTGCTTTTCAAGGTTACAAGGAAGAACAAGATTTTTACTCTAAAATGTTGAAAACAGTGAACTTTCCCTAAAGTTGCAGATTCATACTAAAATGTCTACTTATCTTAAAAGAATATTATATAAACAAATCGTTCCTGCAACAAGAAGAGCATGTACACCACCAATCTTTGGGAGAATTGAAGGACCATACAAGGGATTCGAGTTTGATTTGAACATGAAGGAAGCTCTACATGTCACACGAAGCGTAGTTATAATGCAGTATACTCAAACCCATATGATAGCATGATACACCCCAATTGATGCAAGATCACAAGGGACTTGTAAAGGGAAAAGATAGGAAAGGAAAATAAAGTAGTAGCTAAATTTCTCTGTTTTGGTTGGGTTGGGAAAATGAGAAGAAAACGAATATGTATTTTAAAAAAATTATTTTTTGTTTAACCATGTCTTTACAACCTAAAACTGCTAATTTGATAAATCCAATACCTAGAGGAGAAGCATACAACAAAAATGTGTTATTGACCATGAAATAAATCCCATGGTAGCTCGTGATTATGGATACAGATGTACCTATATATTTCACAAATAATAATATATTACCCTAATAAATTGAATCATAGTAAACATGGAACAGCAAAGGTCTGGATTTTAATAAATAGGAATATATAAGTGCATAATACGAACATTGAAAAAATAAAATAAAATAAAAATCAGGATTAAAAAGTTGATAAAATTCATATGGTTTTCTTCTTATACATTTCAATCATCATTATTGTATCTTGTCATGTAAGCTTCTTAAAATATGTTGTTTGACAACCAACCAAATTAACGTGATAATAAGAAATTCATGTTTTCGTATACGCATTTCTTCCAAGAGCTGACACATTCTGTCTTAATCTCCCATTTTATATCTCAACCATCTATGTATAGTTCTTGGAAAGCATGTTTATCATATGAATAATTTTTAATTTTTTTCATGAAGTATAAAATGTAATGTGTTTGGTCCGTATACTATAAGATTCAAATTGAAAAATGAGTAGTTTTGATTCAGTTTCGAACTTAACAGAAAATGGAAGTTTGATTCCATTTTTACATACACGTACGTACAAGCATAATTGAGCCAAACTTTCAGCTTCAAGGTATGAAAAGATTTGCATATTGGATGTGTTCTTCGTTTAGAAACTGTTTCTTTATCATTGGTGCATTGCAAGGGTTTAAAAGTCAAATTGAAACCAAATTGCATTATATAACTGACCTGTTTTATCTTCAAATCTCCGCTCAAGCTTGCTGTATTCCGGATCTCAACGTCATGTTTCATTCTCAAAATCTCATCTTCCATTTTCCGACACTTAACCACAGCTTCCCCTGACAAAGCCCGCTCCTTTTGAATCTCATCTTCCATTTTCCGACACTTAATGACAGCTTCCCCTGACAAAGCTCTCTCCTTTTGAACCTCTTCTTCCAAAAAACCAACTTTTGAAAGCAAGGTTTTAATCTCAGCTTCAACAACCATTAATTGTGACTCTGCCAATTCTCTCTTTGCATTGGTAGCCCCCAGCTCTGCCTCAAATGCACTTCTTGCTTCATTTGCCATAGATAACTGAGTTTGAAGCTCAACCAACTTCAGCTCTACTTCAACTAATTCCGACTCTGCCGATTGTCTATTTGCATTTGAAGACCCAAGCTCTGCCTCTAATGCACTGTTTGCTTCGTTGACCATATCTAACCGAGTTTGAAGCTCCACCAACTTCAGCTCTACGTCCATTAACTGATCTCTTGATGTCTTAACTTGATCTTGGCATTCAGTTACTGCCATCTCCAATTCCACTTTCTCCATTTCCATCTTCTCTAACTTCTCCTCCAATTCAGCCGTCCGATTAATCATTGCGTCGAGTTCAGCTTTTAAATGGCTTTCCCCGCCATGGGGTTGGTCAGACAAAGCTCCCGATTCTGGGCAACAGCTTCCACTTTCTGTCTCAGGTAATGCAGCGAGCCTTTCCATTTCAAGGAAATCATCCATGAGATTAATATCAACCGAAGGGACCATGACGTTTCTTCGAATAGCATTCTCATTCTTAAATTGATCAAGCTCTGAAATTAGAGCCGATGCCCATGAATCAGAATGGCTAGGTTCACACTCATTCGACTCTAAACCACTAATCTTGCGGCTTTCGTTATCAACCACCAATAGCCTCTCCCCGCTATCTGATTGGCTATCTGTGAAGGATTCAACATAAACTGACGAGGCAGTAACAGACCTGTGATCATTCGCAGACGATGCTTTGCGGGCCCCAGCCTTTAGCCTGCGGCACTCTGCTTCAAGCCTAGCCACCTTTTTTATGCTCTCCAAATGTTGTTTACTAGCGGTTTCAGCAGCTTGGGTGCTCAAGTCCCTCTCAATAATCCTAATTTCTAGCTCCTCGACCCTGGAAAGGAGCTCAAGCTTTAGAGCTGAGTTTTCTTTCTCAGCAGCCTCAAGCTTGGTTTGGGATTCAGGATCAATAGAGGTAAGGGATTTGGCTACAGTTGCTTCATGTTGAGACTGGAGCTCAACAAGCTGACTCTCGAGTTCAGACTTTGTTGATTCCCATTCACGAGTTTTCTTGGCAACAGCTTCATGAATCTTCTGATCTTGCTCTTCTCTAGCTTGTCGAAGCTGTCTAACACACTCCTTGAGAGCTCCATCAAGATTGTTAACTCGATCTTCAAGGGATGAATTCTTCTGAGTTGCAACCTCAAGTTGTTGCTTTAAAGCCAACACTTCACTTTCAGCCCTTTCCCATCCTAGCATTTGAACGATGAATAGAAAGATCAACTAATTGTCAATTTCCAACTCAAAGAACGAAGATGGGAAGTGTGTGGAAACGATGTTAATATGCTCAAACTTTCCACATTTACAATGACTCAATTGAAAAGTGTACATAGTTCTATTTATTCAAATCAAATAAATGATTGATACCTGAGACAGCTTCCTCTGCAACTTTTGCATGCTGCTTTACCAAATCTTCTTTGGCCCTGATGTTGAGAAGAGCTTCTGAGAGCTTCTCTGATAGAGTCTTCACACTATCATTAAGTTCATCACTGGGCGCAGCTTTAGATGTGACTTCTGGAGATTGAGTATGATGGTTCAACCATGCCTTCAGTAATCACAAACCCAACAAATATGAGGACAAGGACAACTTCAAATGCATGCGGAATGGGAAAGAAATGTCTAAGCCTTAAATCACATCCATCCCAAAAGAAGAAGAGGATAGCACTCAATCTAGCAACTGGTTGTAGGCCAGTAGTTCAATTCTAGGCAACTATGTAAATTAAAGATTTAGATACAATCCTTCCTAATAATTGCGAGCCACAGATGAAAACAAATTTCCCATCTATATTGAAATTTAGAGATGAGAAATTTGTTTATTATTTTTGTGTAATGTAACCAATGGTTGAAGTTAGTTTTATCTTTGTCATATTTAAATAATCTTGCCAACAAATATCTAGGTTCCAATCTGCTGAGAACATGTGAAAATCTCAAGACACTGATCTTTGAAGCATAAATGCCAAGAAGCACGGACACGGAAACAAACACGTAAATTTTCAAAAAAATCCAGGACACGACACGTTATGGATATGTTCAAAACGTATATTTTTAAATATTTAATATGTATTTTATGTCAAATATTTAATTTTATCAAATTTATCAACCTTAGCTATGCTATTTTAATAAAAAAAATTAAAAATTTTGTTTTTTTTGAAAAAAATAGTACTCAGCGTGTCCCTAATGTGTTCTCAACGTATCCCTTGCGTGTCCTCAACGCGTCCCTTACGTGTCCAACGTGTCCGCAGCGTGTCCAAAGTGTCCCAGCATGTCCAACACATGTCCGGAGCGTGTCCAGCGAGTGTTCGACACGTGTCGGACACCTGTACTCGACCTCTGGAGAGGTGTCCATGCTTCATAGTATAAATGTCTTTAACATGTGGATAGTACACGTTTCCACCTCTGCCCCAACAACTACAGATTTTGGCAGAAAAAGAGCAGGTGGGTGGGCGGCGGATACATCACAATGTGAACCATCAAAGAGAATAAAAAACTTCCCACAAGCCAAGCTGAAATGATGGATTTGGATTTGTAATCAATGAACCAATTTTTCAAGGCCAAGTATCCATCAAATGGACCATTAGTTAGGCCTCGTTTGGCATGGCTAAAAATCACTAAAAAAATGTCAAAAAACTACTTAAAAAGCAAATCATACACTAGTCATTCACATTTTCCGATACAACTAAAAAAGTCATTCCCAAACACATTAATTTTTTTCACCTCATAAAAAAAGCAAAAGCCACTAAAAAAGCCAGTTTCCAAACGAGGCCTTTGTTTTATTCTCAAATCCCGTCCAGTTTCACAAAATAATGGTAATACCAGGTAAACAACTATGGAGTAAGAGAATCTGATAAAAAGGAGAAGATATAATAAAAGAAGCCAAGAGCAAATGTACCAAATTCGTTTAATGTCATTATTAGGCTACTCGCAGTAACTTAGAACAAAAAAATAATTACTCTGACATATGTGAAATAGCTGAAGATAAATTACGGACAAAGTTCTTGTCAATTGGAAAAAGTGTACTTTTGACAATTGTGGTCCAACTATGATGGATATCCCACAAAGGTGGTCCAAATGATGGTAGACAACCCAGTCTCTGAACAACACACCTGTCATCGATCTAGATAAGATGAAAATTTGTCAATGTCATTTAATAATTGAGAGGTGCTTCAGCACTTTTGAAGTTCAAGGGGTTGAATTGAATCACAGATTGCACATAATTATTGCAGAACAAAGCACAAAGCGCTTCCACAGCTTCAAGACCACTAACCTCTAAAACTCAAATCTCTTCCCAAGACATTTTCTCCTCATATTAAGCACAAACTGATCATTGATTGAAATGTGTTCAATATTAAAATTTAAAAGAAACAATCGTACAACTAAATGTTCCAAATTCTCCCCAGAGTAAAATTTTTATGTGTCTTGTTGGCTTCAAGTAACCTCTTAAAAAGACAGGAAAAACAGTTCAACACTACTATTAAAAGAGGGTAACCAAGAGCAAGAGACTCCCGCTGGAGAGGGCAAGATGCACGTAACCTTATCCCCGTATCTTGAGAGATGGTTTACGGGACTCGAATCTGCCAACCGTGAATGCTAATGCCAAGTCTTACCGTTGGACCAAATCGCCCTTTCACTTGAATATTATAATCAAATTTAAAGTAAACTGCAAGGCAGTCACTATAATATAATAATAGAAAATTGGAAGCAACAACATCTGAACAGAAGGAAATGAGCACAAAGCGAGATCTGCTTGTATGGTACTGCAGCAAATTGTACCTATTCTGTTAAAATCGAATATACATACACCGTGTTATATATACATGCATGTATAACTTGGGCACGTATACACCATTTTTTGTATACCGTGTGTTGGTATAATTAGGAGCATTGAAATGGTCTTTAAGGTTCTAATACAGCAAACTCACTAAATCACCCTTTCATACCAATGGAAAAGAATAAATGATTTCCAATCATGGGTACACAAATGGCTCAAGAAAAAGGAGAGTCATGATTAATTTAACTCTCATTGTTTAATATTTTGTGTTTTGCATAAAAACTGGACAATTGAATACGAAACATCCAACAACCAAGAGACAAAAGTGATAAACAAGCAAGAAATCAGGAGAGAGAGAGAGAGTGTAGGAATTGTTGAATATATGGGGGAATTAGAGAGAGAAATATACTGATTATAGAAATCATATTAGGTAGAGCCAACAATGCAAAATATTCATAAAGTCAACACATTCAATTAAAAGGCAAAGATTGGAATTATGAATAAGGATAAATGAATAGCACTAACCTGATCATCAGAGAATCTTTCAGAATGAGACGACGCCGATCCCGAGCTCTCAGTTTCACCAGGACTTTTCTCGGAAGACTTCCTCCGCCAGAGCCAACTCCGGCGGTCCATCTCAATCTCCAGCAAAAATAACCCCTCACAAACACTTCATCTGCAATTTCACCCAATTATCTCCAAAATGTCACTACCCACAAAACCCCAGAAAAGAAAAGCTAACCAAATCTGAAACCGACTGATATAAAAGCCTAAAATCCGAACAATTTGAAACCCCAAAATGTACATAAAACCATCCAAAAGCAATGTTTGTGTCAACACCTATCGGAAACCTAATGATGTGAAAACCTAAAACCCACAATCCAGAAGCAGTATTTGGGGCTTAAAAGGTCAATTTTGCTCAGCACCAACTATTTTAGAAAATAAAGGGTGTTGGCAAGTCAGTTCACAAGCTTTGCTTAGAATTCACTGCCCAACTATCCGACTTCCAAGAAAAGTTTTTTCACCAAAATCCCCAAAAAGGTCAAATATAAAATCGACACGCTTTTGAATTCTCAATTTAACACTGGAAATTCCTTGCAACACACAATTTGAACAACTCATCTGATGGGTACCTCTTAAATCCCCATAACCACCGAGAGAGACAGAGATAGAGATATACTCTACATATAGAAAGTTACGGAAATTGCACATGGCCACGACAACCCATCTCATAAAATTCAAAAATGGCAAATACCCAGTAAAAGATATAGCAGGAACAAGGATGAACAAGGATACCCAGAAAGCAAAACATCAAAAAGATTAAAAACAAACAAACAAAATCAAGAAAGAGAGCGAGAGAGAGAGAGAGAGGGATAAGATACCTTAGATGATTGTAGAGAAAAATAAAAATGGAGCCTTGATTAAAAATCAGGACAATTAAATTAGTCAAGAATGATGATTCATCTGCAGTGGATAGAAACAAAATATATACCTAAAAAAAGGCTACAATCTGCAGAGAGATCTACGGAATGTCAGCACAAATGTAGATGATAATTCAGAGGAATAGAGAGAAGTCTCTATTTATTCCACTCTCTCTTTTTTTATTATTCAAATACAATAATAATTTTCTCTTTTACTACTTTTTTTTTTCTTTTTTTTTTTTCTCACTCTGGGATTTGTTTTTTTCAAATGGAGATGGCGTTATTCCCGCCTATGGATGTGGGATTTCACTACCACTTGTCTACTCATCAGTCTCCGCGGCACAGAACCCTTTCTTCTCTCTCTACACTCTCTCTCTCTAATATATATCTTCAGTGGTCCGAATTCGAACAACAGTGTCGAACAGCTTTTTTGCTGTTTTTTGTTGGTTTGTTCCTCAGACGATTTCCATGTCCTAATCACCCACAATATATAATAAGGATAATTCTTGGTAGCTCGAATAATTGGCTCGATTTTTGGCTCGAATCTGTAAAACGACGTTGTTTTACATTTTTTTTTTTTTTCCTTTCTTTTTCTTCCTTTTCTTTCTTTCTTTTCTTCTTTTCTTCTTCGTCTTCTTCGTTGAAACCAGGAACAGAGGGGAAGAGGAGAGAGGGAGCTCCCCCGCCTTCGCCCGCCGTCCTCGTCGCGAGGAGCTCGTCGCCTCCGCCGCCTCCGCCCGTCGCAGCACGCCGCCGATCGTCGCAGCTCCCCCTTCCTCCTCCTCCTCCTCCTCCTCCTGCTCCTCCTCCTCCGACTCCGACTCCGACTCCGACTCCGATGAATTCGAGCCAAATTCGAGTCTCGAATTCGAGCTACGAATCATCGCCGATATAATAAATAATCATAAAATGAAAAATTATGTAAATACATAAATAAAATACATATTTTATGTATGGAGGATTAAATGTAGTTTATTTTTATTTTGAAAACAAAATAGTATTTGTTTAATTATAAAAATATTATTTTCATATTGTTCTATATAAAAGGGAAACATTAAGGGACACATTCCTCATGTCTATCTTATAATTAAAATAAATAAATAACATAACATAATTTTATATTTTTTGAGTTATAATTATAAAAAAAATGTCATAATTAATGAGATATAATTAAAAATTTCATAAATTATAATTAAAATAATATCATAATTAAAAAAAATAATGGTTATAACTAAAGAAAAAAATGACATAATTAAGAGTGCATATAATATACTCCTTTCAAGGATGTATATATTAGAATTTCTCATATAAAAAAATTATAATAAATCAAATTGTGACCTAAGGAGTCATTTGGGAACAAATTTTTTAGTTATTTTTTTATTTTTTTTTGTTAAAATATGAGATAAAAAAAAATTAAATTTTTAAAATAATTTTTTGATTTTTTACAGAAAGATAGACACAAAATAAAGTGAATGAAAAGAACTTTTTAAGTTATTGATCTTCGTTGACTTTTTAAGTTTTTTAGTAATTTTTTGTAGGTTAAAAGTCAATTTTTTAATTTTTTTTTTTTAAAATGAGTAAAAAAAATAAGAAAGTGGTGAGACTCAAAACAATTAAAAAGTCAAAAAAATTAACTTTTTATCTAATCACCAAATTAACTTTTAAAAAGTCAACAAATTAAAAAATTAAAATTAATTTTTAAAAGTCAAAAAATTAAAAAATGATGTGACTTAAGACTGGAACGTTCCCTAATCACCAAATTGGTTAGCCTCCGTTTGGCAAATTAGGTTAGGAGTTTTTTTTGACTATTTTAGCCACAAAAGATAAAATAAGTTATTTTAGCCACAAAAAATAAAGTACCGCATCCAATCCATAATCATTACACTCTTCTCTCATAAAAAAAAAACTAAAAAAGTCAAAAAGTCCTTCTCAAATCAAGCTTTTTAGCCCAGACTAAAATAGCTAAAAAATTAAAAAGTTAACCCACTTCACAAACCAACTCTTAGTATGCTCGACTAATTTTATTTTTCACACACTGGCACTTTTGTGAAAGGTCAATTCATCCTCTAATGTACCAAAAATAAATAAATTGAACGCATCAAAAAGATAATTTCTTTTAGAAAAATTACAACAAAAAATAAATTTTAGATAAAAGTATTATTAACAAGTGAAAAACAACGTAAGATAGGGGTGACTTGTAGGGGAGAATTTGGGCGGAAGAAGACAGATGAGGGAGCAAAATGGTCGGAGGAAAGTTCTTCATAAGTGAATTTCACATTTTCATAATTATTTTTATTCTCCTTTTGTTTGTAATTTTTTCTTTTTTCTTTTTTTAAAGTAATTTCTCCCTTTTTGTATGATTCAAGTTGTCTGTCAATTAAAAATGAAATTTTACTACAAGGCAGAAGTCCATGTATAAGACTCATAAATCATTAAATTTCATGTATATTATTACCATCAGTGAAATCTCATATGTATCAAAAAAATTATAATACTCATAATTAAATCACATATTTTAGGAATATGGTGAGTGACGAGTTTAATAGAAGAATCGTGTTGTTGGCAGTGTCATGAGCCCTCTCTATCAAACAACTTGCAAAATTCATCATAATCTTAGTGTCCACATGTTCAGATCCATCACCATATCATCGATTTTTTGTTTCTTATGGTCCTCATCAATAATTTGATTCTCAACGTTGGATTCAAAATTGTATGAATTTGAATTGAGACTCTAATGGCAGTTTAGGGACTTTGCATCTTCTCTTGTTGTTTCCCATTCAATTTGTCCTCCCTGTCGACAAAAACTTCGTTACGCTTTGTTTGGGAACAGGCTAATTTAGTAACTTTTTAGCTATTTGGCTAAAATATGAGTTAAAAAAAATAGTATATTTGGGATGACTTTTTGACTTTTTACGAAAAGATGTGCAAAAAGTAGAGAAAAAAGAGAATCTTTAACTTTTTGGTATGGATTGTTGGCTTTTTGGCTAATTTAATAACTTTTTAACTTATTGACTAAAAAATTTGATTACCAAACGAGGCCTTAGTCTTTACTCCCAATGGATTTTGTTGGAGTCAATCTCTAAGTTCATTGGTCAGACAACTTCTCTTTTCTCTCTCTAAGTGAGAGTATCTCTACCTATTGGTAAGTTTTCAGGATCATTATCTTGCCAGTCTCACACCAGCAAAAGCAGTCGGAGTGTGTGGATTATGGAGAGCTTTCCTCAAATCTAAGGCCTATTTCAACATTTTCACAGTTTCACCTAGGGTTTCTAGTTTGGAGGAGGTAGAACACGTCAAACTTCTTGAAGAATCGGGTGAGAGTGATGATGTTTTAGACCTCTGTCTTATTATAAAGGTTATCACTCAAAAGACTTTGAACAAACAAGCAGTGTGTAGCATCCTGCAGACTGCCTGGCGGCCTAGCAACGTTGGATATCTCACCATGGTCGGAGAATGTTTTCTTGTTCCAGTTCAGCGATCTAGAGGATAGGTGGAAGGTGCTTTTCAAAGCCCCATGGTCAGTCATGGGACATCTACTCGTTGTACAGCAACTGGAGGCGGGCAAATTAAAGTCGAAATTGGAGTTTCAGTGGTGCCCCTTTTGGGTTCAAGCACATGGGTTGCCGGTGGCTAAGCTGACCAGACAGAATGGTGAAATAATCGGAAAAAGAATTGGCAAGCTCATTACAGTGGAGGTGATACACAATGGGCTTCTCCTAAAAATAAGTTTTCTCCGAATGAAATGTCCTTACAGTAATGAAAGCAGTTCATTAAATAATACTTCAGTCTTTCAGTCAGAACAGTTATTCAGTCATATGTGGTACATCCATTAGCATAGCAGTAAACAGTAGGTCTTAAAGACCGAACAGTAATGATGGCCATCAATCAGTAAACAGTAGTGGTTCCAACAAGGGAACCGACAGAGATCTCTGTAACAGCAACAGTAGGTGCTAAGGATGCCACAATACAGTTCAAAAAGCAATATCTTTTTGTTTCTTATCTCTGTAACAGTAACAGTAAACAGTAGGTACTAAGGATGCCACAGTACAGTTCAGAAATAAAGGACATACATTCATTCAGTAAATAATACCAGTTCAGTAAACAGTTCAGTTCAGTATTCAAAAGATAATCAGTTGAACATATCTTTACACAATTGTTACTCACAGAGTTCTGGGCTACAGTAGGTTAGAGCGTCTACTCGAAATGTCAACCCTATATAGTTAACAGATTGAACACACTCTAAGTTTCACAGTTGGGAAAGGTAATAATTAAATCCCTAAATTTGCCTTGGTGTGTTCTACATCTATATCCTCATTAAGATGCCTTAAACTAGGCCTAAGAATGCACTTTTAAAAGCATTTTCAGAGTTTTCAGAAAATAGAGTCCCGCTTGAGCGCAGGTTTACCCGCTCGAGCGTACAGGCAAACAAAGGTCCCCGCTCGAGCGTCCATTATACCGCTCGAGCGGACCAAAAAGTACTGGATAGGGGAAATCCCCGCTTGACGCCCGCTCGAGCGTGTCACCCAGTCCTCCGCTCGAGCGAACTGTTCTACAGTGCAAGATGCTGGAAGTTCGATTTTCCCGCTCGAGCGTCACTTCCCCCGCTCAAGCGGACGACTGAAATCTGGAAATCCCAGATTCGAGCTCCAGGTTCAAAACCCAGCTTAGATGCATAAAATTCGATCCCCTTGGGCCAATTTTCTAGAAAACTCTTTTAAACACATAGAATAACATGTTTCAAAACTCAATTTAGGAAATCAAAGCCCAAGGGTATTTAATTCAAACCCAATTTCCAACCATTCTTCAAGAACAACATTCAAACATGTCATGCATGAGTTTTAAACCAATTTAAAGCTCCAAAGCTTGTTCAAATGAGCTCATTTCTTTTCAAAACCAGATGAGTTCATGGTCTTAAACATAATTGTGAACATGCATGTAACATTTTGCCATGAAAACAACTCAAACATCTACAATACAAACATGCATGCATGGAATGAGCTTCAATTCAACATGTTAGAACTAAATTATGACTTAGCTCCTCAATTAGACATGAACCATGCATGAATCACTTAATATTCAAGAACAAGAGAGTAGTTATTCTACCATAGGTCTTCAATGCAAGGCTAGAAGCTCAAAATAGCAATCTATACTTCAATTACCAAGCAATTCTTCAAGTTGAATTCCAATTTCTCTCACTCTCTCTCTCTCTTCTCTCTAAGTCGGCAAAGCAAGGAGAAAGGCTGATGAAATTATGTGCTTAAGTGTATCATAGGGCTCAAATATGTTATATTGAGTGGGCCACTAAGGGTTAGTTTGGTAATTAAGTCCAAAACTTGCAATCCATCAATATTTAATCTAATTTAATCATACCTAATCAGTTT